AACACTAACTATTAATGAAGTAAGAACTGATAACGATGAATATCAATGGTGTATAAGATTTTGACAACATTAACTATCAATGAAGTAAGAACTGATAACGATGAATATCAATGGTGTATAAGAAATGAAGATTTTCTTTTTTTTTTTTTGATCCGAATATTTGAATTATATGAAAATTGATTGAAAGCAAAATAAATTTTACATAATTTTATCATTCCTTTACAGTGATAAAAGATATCTTATCAAATAGAGAACATTGTGACAATGTTTTATTACTACAAATCTCATATGTTGGACGACATTTTCATGTAGTATTTTGTTCAGCACCAAATGGTTTCAATAGTGGTGATCGATTTAATGTTAGTTACTTGTTACAATTCTTATTAACTTTTAAATAATCTTAAATTAAATTTAAAGCTTTAACCTTTAAATGACCTTTCATTCTTAGCTTCAATGTGTTCTTTAGTCTAAAGATGGCTTTGGCTATGTGTTATATCACTGATACTAATATATTAAACAATCTTAGATGCCACCAAAATGGCAATCGTTGTGTAAGGCAGCAAATATAGAGGAAGCCAATATTCGGAATGGAATTGTTCTTCGCAATATTGAATTTGGTGAGGAAATAATTATTTGTAATGAGCCTGAAGTATCCCTACTTGAGCCAAGCAAAATGCATCAGAATGATAAGCAAGGCCAACAGTTGGAAAAGATACAACAAGAATTAACTGATATAGGTTGGGAATTATTTCACATGTTCAATCTATTTAACATATATCCTTTTATAGTATATCTTATCAGACTTAATCAAATTAAAAATCGAATTAATATTCTTATCACTATTAGGCTATTTAGTTCTAAATTGCTAATATTTCCTCATTCTCTTGTAATAATTAATTACAATCATCCAAAATTTGTAAATTCAAAATGATTGAAAAAAGAACGACTGAGAAACATATAAATCAGAAATTAATAATATTAAGTAATCTGATAATTTTTATAACTAAAAAAGATAAATTGTGAATAATAAATGATATAAATTGATCAAAAAATAGCCGATAACAATCTCATATTAATGTAAAGTAGTATTTTAATTTTAAAAATGATAACCAAATAAAAAAATGCAGGGAACAAAACTATGTTTGTAAAAAAATTATATTTTGATCGCTTATTTTGAAATGAGCAAACTTAAAAGAGTCTAATACAATGGTTTATTATTAGTATTGTTATTATTACTGCTATTATTATTAGTGTTATTATTTTTATCATCACTATTAGCTTATTATTATTGCCATTATTATTATTTTATTTATTATTTATTGTTTGTTATTTATTATTTATTCTTTGTTATTTATTATTTATTATCTGTTATTTATTATTTATTATTTATTATTTATTATTTATTATTTATTACTTATTATTTATTATTTATTACTTATTATTTGTTATCTATTATTTATTATTTGTTATTTATTATTATTATTATTATTATTTATTATTATTATTATTATTATTATTATTATTATTATTATTATTATTATTATTATT